TGTCGTGGATCAGGCACGCTCACTATTATTCTTCAATTACAGCCACTATCGCAGCATTTAATACCAAAATATAAATCACTCCAGTTCTAAAGATACCCAACCATTTGGGCTGGACGGTAGAGCAACGGTCTCACTTCGTGCAGATCAGCGTTCAATTCCCGACCGTCCAAGTGGTTGGACACCGTCCATCCCCCCCCCCCCCCCCGTCCCATATCAAATCCTTATCCTGACCTCTTCCAAGTGCTATAGTCATAATGGATTGGCCCTTTCCCCTGATCCCTTCCCTGCTAAAGATACCCAAGAATTCCATTAAATTACTCATCACTGAACGAACATTTAAGACACTAATCCGCAGAATGTCAGAGACGCTGATTAAAAAAAATTGTAACAGCAAAAAGAACAAGAATAACACCAGCTGTAACATCGCTTCAGCCACTAATTAAGTGATTAAGTAATTAATTCGGTCACTAATCATTCACTTAAGCCAGTAAGTAACAGTCACTTCACTCACTATGTAACAGTCATTTCAATAACTTCAGTCACTATGTAAGAGTCACTATGTAAGAGTCACTATGTAAGAGTCACTATGTAACAGTCACTATGTAAGAGTCACTATATAACAGTCACTAGGTAACAGTCACTTCAGTAACGCACTAATTGCTTCACGACCCATTAAAGACTACACTACCTGTGAGCTAACAGATCTTCAATCCTATTTATACAAGACAGAACAAAAAATCTATTTATACTGGTTTGCAATGTAAACGAATAACTTCATTTATGGTACAAAGACAACAGCGCCATCACTTCATGGCCTCGCCACACACTTTTTTCTGGTTCCAGAGGTCAAGGTGAACAAAATTATCCATTTGAGTTTTCGTCGAAGCTTCCACCATAGCTTCACAACTACCATGAAACACATTCGCTATATTATTTTTTCCGAACTGGTGGTGAAGTGTACCCAAGCCAAGCACACACTCGTTGTATAGCAAGACGAAGCGCGGACCACAAGGGGAAGGTACAAGGTACCTCGTGTACCTTGTTCCTTCCCCTTCAAGGGGAAGAGGGTACAAGGTACTCGGCATGAGTTAGGTAAGAGTAAAGTCATATACGACACTTGACTTAGTACCTAACCTTTGTTGTGTTGTCTGTGCTGTGATAAGAGCTCTGAGAACGGGGTGGAGTTACGTACCTTGCTCACTACGTGCTACGTTACCTCACGTACCTCACTACGTGCTACGTTACGTCACGTACCTCACTACGTGCTACGTTACCTCACGTACCTCACGCCTTACAATAAACATTACCCTATGTTAATTGATATGTATTTTTATGTTCGCCTAAAGTACATCAGTATTTGTATTTTCTCAGTTCCTTATTGATTTGTTTATTAATTTGTCTATCAATTATTTTCTTCCTCTTGATTCAAGTGTTGGTGTGAGGAGGCTGAGTGGAGCCCCGTGCCAGGGGCGCCACTCAGGGTGCCAGGGGCGCCACTCAGGGTGCCATGGAGCGCAACTCAGGGTGCCATGGGGCGCCACTCAGGGTGCCAGGGAACGCCACTCAGGAGCCAAGGTGCCATAACTCTTAATTTTCGCTGGTATTATTTCCACTGTATTTTCTCCTACAAACGTCGTCATTCATTTATGACATTTACAATGCTAACCAGAGTCTTATAAATTATGCTCATATATGTTCCCAATGCAAATTTGCGTTCAATCCTTACTGCTGTTGCCGATCCTTGATACCTGCTTGATGGGGTTCTGGGAGTTCTTCTACTCCCCAACCTAGCTTGATCCACTAGGCTGTTGTTTGGAGCGGCCCGCAGGCCCACATACTCACCACAGCCCGGTTGGTCCGGCACTTCTTGTAGAAAACTATTTAGTTTTCTCTTGAAGATGTCCACGGCTGTTTCGGCAAAATTTCTTATTCTCTCTGGGAGTATGTTGACCAACCGTGGACCTCTGATTCGTACCTTGTTATGATAACTCGAGAGTATTGTTACTCATTTACACAAGATTATCCATCCACTCGTTTACACAAGATTACCCAACTCGTTTACATATGATTATCCAACCATTCGTAAGCACAACGCGAATGCAGCTTTGTATTTAAATGTAATATCAAATTAGCACGGTTGTGATCTTAAGATAACTAATTGTCTATAGTAATGATTAAACATAGCGCAAAAACATAGAGCAAAAGGAACAAAGTGTAAATATGGAAGTTACACCCCTGTGCATACCATAGGAGAGGATGCAATTTGAACCTTGTAAATTTCTTAACTCTAAGAACAGTGGAATCATTTTCTAGAATCTTATGTGATTCGGTTCACTTTCCCCCACCGCTCACAGGATAGATATATTATAATTACCTGATGCATATCATTATCTTTGTCAGTAAAACCTTGAAATGAGTTTCTGAACTTTCACCATATAAACCTTTTCTCAATCTCTCGGATTATTTACCTGCCATATCAGCCCTTTTCTGCCCAATTAATTACCTATTCTGCCAATTCTTTCCTGCCTTACTAAGTATTATCTACCCTATCATTCTTATCCTACTCTACCAATCATTCTCTGCTCTACCCCTTTTCTACCCCTCCAGTTATTTCCGGCCATTCCAATCCTTTCCTGTCCTATCAATAATTCTCCCCCCTACTAATCCTCTTCTGCCATATTAAACCTCGTAAAGTCCTCAAAACTGATAAGTTTAGGATTGGAAAGTTAGATAAGAATAATAACGGTCACTAAGGTTCATTCTCTGGTTCAGTTTAAATATCTGCAAAATATATTTCTACCAGATTCCAACCTCTGCAAAAAATCAGTCCCATGAAAAAGGAATTTAATTCCATTAATATGTCGCCAGTTGAATACAGTAAAATAATACACTTGATCACCCAGACCACATAGGATCTTTCATCAGAACTTTTACACCAATATAGGGTGAGAAACAAAGATATACAGCAATCGAAAACTTCAGTAGTAGTCGAATTAAAATTAAGCGTTGTCTACCCTCAGATTATTATTGACATTTTAGAGAAATTGAGAGCTATTTATACCACTGAGAACAATGGTTTTCTTAGGAAATATGATGATTCATAAGCTTCAGAGCCCCACGAAAAAAAAATCCACAAGAAATACTTTTATGCAAATGCTAGAAATGAAAAATAATTTATGAGATAATCGTATACAAGTCAATTAAAAACTATTTTTTTAATAGTTAACTATAGTTTAATAGTTAAAACACGTTTTTCTCTCGTACCACTGACGTGGCTATTCAGCTGCAATGATAACAAGCATATATGCATTTTTCATTGCCTTCATAGGCAGGATTACTGATTTGTTACACTACATGCAGTGTTGTATAGGGTTGAATTATTTACCATTCACTGCAGCGGGTGAATGAAGTTCTTGTTTTCAGTTTTATTACGAGGAACTTCACTTTTTAAATAATCCGATAAGTAAATTATATTAAATCTAAATCAAAATGTTATTTTGTGAATCATTTAGATGATTTGCAAGCAAAGAAGGCGATGTTTATAGAAAGCATTTTAGCATTGCGAAAAAAAATAAATTATGTTTTCTTGCATAAATAAAACAAAAATTTTTAATGGTCAGAACTAAGAAGAATGCATTACAATACCTTTATTTTTACTTATCATATCTTCTGAGTTAATTGATTAGTAAGATCCTGCTCACGTGTTTTTATTCAATGGAAGCCTGCTATCATGAAGGATATTATGATGCGATAAACAACTTGAACTCCTCTCAATCAATGGCTTTTGTTTTCAACTAGAGGATCTTCAGCCAGTCAATTATCAAACTTGGCCTTTATTTTCAGTCAAATGGTCCCTATCTTTATTCAGTCTACGCTCAAATGAGACTTTTATTTCCAACTAGTCAATTATCTAACCTGTCCCTTATCTTAGGTCAGTCTACAATCAAACCTGCCCCTTATCTACAGCCAATCTACTCTTAAACCTAGCCCTTGTCTCCAGTTAGTCTCGTATCAAACCTGGCCCTTATTTCCAGTCAACTTACTCACAAACCTGGCCGTTATTTCCAGTCTACTCTGAAACGTGGTCCCTCATCTTCATCCAGTTTACTCCCAAGCCTGGTCCTAATCTTCTGTCAATTTACACTGAAACATGGCCACTATCACATTAACTTTATGATCATACTCACTGCTTTATCATATTCACTGTTTTATCATATTCACTGGTTTATCATATTCACTGCACTATCTATTATATTCACTTCATCACATTCATTGCTCCATTGTATTCAACACATTCACTACACCGCCATATTCACCTATCTATATTATTGTGGGATATGAAAATGAAACATCACAATCACCTCATTTTCCTGCCAGCATCACGCTCATTGCTCATCTTGTCTCAAATAACACATCGCATATCGAACGACGGACCCAAGTAGCAGCTCATGAACATCCACGTTTTTTACGCGTGGGTTAGAGAGGTGGCTTGGGTTTCGCCATTGCAGTACCACCTTCTTTTAACCGTTGTGGCAACTCAAGAGAATGGGCTGCCCAATCCACTGCATCATCACAGTCACTAAACTGTCAAACGTGTTCTCTTTATTGACAACAATGAACTGTTGTCAATATATAGACCTCACAATATAGAACTTCAACTTTCAAGCTGGCGATAACAGTCAAAACACAACAATAATATATATGTTTCGTAAGTCAATAAAAATTGTTTTATCTGTACATCACTATCACATGAATGATAAAACGTGGTGTTGTCCGTGTTTGGGCTGTGTACGTGTCTGTGTACGTGGATGTGTATTACACGTGTTTGTTCATTGTGCGTGTCTGTGAATTGTTCATGTCTACGCATTGTAAGTGGTAATGCACAATACGTGTCTGTGCACTGCACGTGTCTGTGCATTGCACGTGTCTGTGCATTGTCTGTGTCTGTGCATTGCACGCATTTAAACCCACCTTAACTTATCATCACACGAGTTACTCACCTTTCATGTACTACAACATAAAAATTTTAATAAATTGTGTAGTTACATTTTCTGCTCTAAGGACGTATACGATATTCATGTATTTTGATACTGAGATGTATGGACGAATGAAACTCACAAGAGACGGAACTAAAAACCGCATGAACTTAAACAAGTTGTTCACATTCTTATCTACACAGCACAAGAACTAGGGTCAAACACGTCGTACACCAGAGGACTGTTTATGTTCTGTACGAGACACTATCACACGTTATAGGCTGTCTCCTCTTAACTCCTAAATCTCGTCTCACGAAAGGACACCGTCGGCGGGAGCAGAAGGGCACACACATGGCTCCTGGCCTGGGCACTGGCAGCGAGCTAAGGCTGGCCTCTCGGTACTCCTCATCACAGACACTGAGGCAGCCAGGACCTGCGTTGCACCTCCTCTCAAGACAAATAGCCACAATTACCGCTCTTATCTGCCACACACTCCACTTATCAATCACATACACACACACAGCCTATCTTATCTAAGCTCAGGGATTACAGTGGTGCAGAACCCTTCGCCTCACGTACACATCGAAACCTCCTCTCTCTCTCTCACACACACTTTCTATCTATTGTCTTAATGGGTTGGCACTTTCTCCTGGTAGTTCCCTTCCCTTTCTCTTTGTCATAGTTTTTTTATTCAAATTTTTTTCCCATATTTCTATATCTCTTTTCCCTCTTTTTTTTCCTTTTATCCTCTCTCCTCTTACTCTTATCCCTTTTCTATTCATTTCCCACCTTAATCATCCGTTTTTAAACTCCTTCACTTCTCTTGTTCATTTCTGTTTCCTCTTTTCTCTTCCACATCTATAACCTTCCTACTTTTCTTCCATTCACTCATCCTTTCCCTACTCATCTTTTCTTCTTCACCCCCTTTCACCTCTCCGATCTCTATTTTTCTCCTTTCGTGTATGTGTATGTGTGTGTGTGTGTAATCTCACGTACATGGCAGACATGCGTATTTTTTATTTTATTTTCTTTCCGGTGAATATAGATGAATAATTTTGGTTAGTACATTTAATGGGAGTATATTGCCATGGCAATAAGAGTTGTATTGCATTAAGTTTGGGTATAGCAGAGCTGCAGTCTCTGGTCCTAGACAATTGATGCAGCGCAATATACGCTAACCGTATTTTTCCGTCAAGAGCAGCAAGCAATTAGGACATCTGTGAGATCGACTAAAAGAAAATTGTTGTTATAGAGAACCGTTTCAGTCTCGAAAATTTATAGGTATGTTTTTTGTTTTTAGCTTTTATACAGTAGTTAGGGGAATTAAAACATACATTGGCACACGCAAGCAGTAGAAAGTACCATATATAAATTACTGTACATGAGCAACTTATATACATATATATATTAATATATATATTAATATATATATTAATATATATATATATATTAATATATATATATATATATATATATATATATTGACGTGAGTGCCTGGCACTCACGTCAATTATCCTGTCACTCCAGTCACAATCATTAATAACCATTACGGCACTTCCTGGGAACGAGTGCCACCCATAACATCAGTCTAATCTAATTGTCTATACAGGAAAACGAATATCCCAAAACAGTGAAGAAAACTGATGAATCTCCTCAACGCTCCACTTCACTCGTGTGGCAATCCCGGCCATGAACAAACAAACGTTAATTGCAAGGGGGCGGGGGGGGGGGGGCTTTTGTCCACGGGACGAGCCCACACACAAGGTCAAATAAACAAAAACTCGACTGGAGAAGCAAAGACGGCGTCAGGGAGGGAGGGTTGTGTCTCTGGCGCACGTAGGTGGGTCCCACTGAGGCGAGGGAGAAGCTGCTGGTGGGGGAAAAGGTCATACTGACGTGAGGAAGGAAGGTGGCACTAAGTCGTGGAGTAGACGGTGTTACTGACACGTAAGGTTGAAGGTGCCACTGAGGGGGGTGGTAGATAGAATGTGTCTCTAGGGTGGGGGGTGGAGGGGGGAGTTTAGATGGTGCCAGTGGGTCGGGTAGTGGACGGTGCCAATCGGGCGGGGAGATGAGGTGCCACTGAGGATGGAGGCGGTGCCACTGGGTCGGGAGAAAAGAGGATACGCCAGGTGAAGAGGCCAAGCCCTCCCCCCACACCCCCCCACCTCACGCCTCTCTACAAAAATAAAATATTATTATTATTAACATTTAACGTTAACTCACCAAGCACTTGGAGCTCTCGCTCAGCGCTCCTCACTAGAGAAAATAGTTTGCGAAAATTCATCTGGGGGTATTGAACGTAGAGGTGCGTTGTGTGAGGCCACGTGGTGAGGGAATCTTACTATGCACACGACCACATCACAGTTACTGCCATTTGGAGTGGTTTTGTTATCGTGAACTGGATATGGTGCAGCTGGAAGCATGGCACCTACACTCATATGGGACATTTCCAAAAGAACAAAGTGGTGTAAGTAGATTCAAGGTGAAGAAAACAAAATTGTTTTAATGAAGAGTCAAGTTCGTCATATTGAAATGGCCTAAAATGGCCTATCATTGTGGTTTTGGCTTTAGTCAGGTTCGTAATGATTTCTTAAAACATAAACTCGGCATATTTCCAAATTTATCAACTTCCCAAAAATGTATTAAAAAAACATTAAAATGCTTAATCAAAATATTAACACCATGCTGCATACGGCTTTTCGTCAGACGCAAGAATATAATTCAGCGTGTAAGAATATAATTTTTCTTGGGTGTATTCTTGAAGGATCCTCATGACTTTACTTAATAACCTTGACAAGATGTAACTAAAAGCCTCTTGTGTATCAAAGACGAGTTTAAGAGCGTCCGAGAGTGTGTGGCTGAGGAAGGAGCTGTGTTGTCACTTTTGATATGTGCTTCAGCATGAGTAGTATATAAACTTTCCGTGTGATAGTCCTGTGTACTCACCTATTTGTACTCACCTATTTGTACTCACCTATTTGTGCTTGCGGGGGTTGAGCTTTGGCTCTTTGGTCCCGCCTCTCGACTGTCAATCAACAGGTGTACAGGTTCCTGAGCCTACTGGGCTCTATCATATCTATATTTAAAACTGTGTATGGAGTCAGCCTCCACCACATCGCTGCCTAATGCATTCCACCTGTAAACCATCCATCTGTGAATGTCGGTGCTGCTGTGCACGAGTGTCGAGGTGTACATTCGTGAGTGTTGTGCATGTGACGCATGCGTTGGAGAGTATAGTGTGTGTGTGTGTGTGTGTGTGTGTGTGTGTGTGTGTGTGTGTGTGTGTGTGTGTGTAGTGAAAGCGAAAGAGAAACAGAGAGAGAGAGAGAGAGAGAGAGAGAGAGAGAGAGAGAGAGAGAGAGAGATGCACGAATACGCTGACACCACATACGTCAACACACACACACACACACACACACACACACACACACACACACACACACACACACACACACACACACACACACACACACACACACGTTGCACACCAATGATAAAGAATTATTATTCAATAAATCATCGGCGTTGCCATATTCACTCTCCAGCATCACACGTCACGATAATACCACAAGCTATAGTATAGATGATATATGAAACTTTTCACTCTAATTAATCTCGGTGCCCAATTGATGACGGAAAACATTCCTTGGCGTTAAGGGAAACATTTTGTGGTGTGACAAATGGTACCACTGAAATGTGGAAAGAGTCGGCTGTGTGATGAATTGTATTGTGCGATCGTTAATATGATTGTGTATTGTTTGTCAGCGTTCCGTGAAACGATAAGACGACCCACAAAAGTTTACTCATGGAATGACAAGCAGATGTGGCGAGTGTGATATGTTGTGGAATGAATGGGACGAGTCAATAACATATTTTTCTTAATTTACTTTAAGGACGTTCTCTCTTTAGTGACCTTGACGGGGGCAGGAAGCTAATAGCTTATCAAAGATTCCACTTTTGTTCCAAATAATTTATTTCCTGCTGGATTTAAGCATTTACGGTTTCGGCGGGTAGGCGGTTCCATGGCTATATAACCCTATGGGTGAAAAGGCTGCTTTCTGCCCTGCATTATGGCTTGTTTAATTGAGCTTGAAACAGTAATGTGAACCCCGTATTAGATGTGTTCATGGTGCAGTGGTCGGGCACTTGAGGCATGAGTTACGAGGAAAGGCTGCGTGAAATGCACCTCACGACACTGGAAGACACAAGAGTAAGGGGAGACATGATCACTACCTACAAAAATCTCAGGGGAATTGACAGGGTAGATAAAGATAAACTGTTTAACACGGGTGGAACGCGAACAAGGGTGACACTGGTAGAGACTGAGTACCCAAATGAGCCACAGAGACGTCAGAAAAACCTTTTTCAATGTCAGAGTAGTTAACAGGTGGAATGCATTAGGCAGTAATATGGTGGAGGCTGAGTCCATACCCAGTTTCAAATGTAATCATAGAGCCCAGTAGGCTCAGGAATCTGTACATCAGTTGATTGACGGTTGAAAGGCGGAACCAAAGAGACAGAGCTCAACCCCCGCAAGCACAGCTAGGTGAGTACAACTAGGTGAGTACACACACACACACACAGGTTGCATGACAACACTGGGACTCCAGCTCTCTCTCCCAGACACCATTATCTCTAACACCACCTCTTCCCTTCTAGGCTCCTCAATACAATTCACCCTCTTTATTGCGTGCCAAATCTAACTACTTCTTATCTCCCTTTCGCACTCACTCTCTTCGCACTCATTTACACTCCTCCTCTTCCCTTCTCACTTTCTCATTCGTATCAGAAATGGATATTTATGTCTGACATTCAGTTTATCCTCGAAACTCTCCCTGTCTGCAAATGGTTTGAATGTTGTTAAAACAGAGACAATAAATGCACAGCAATATAGGCGAGCAATATCAGCGTTTAGTATCCCACTTGGAGGAAATGAGAAATAGATGTTAAACAATATTTCTCTTAGTGTAAACAGTTACGATGACAACATATGATACATTACTGGCAGGAGTTTAGAATTGTGGTGTTGTTATTGTCTGTTAACATTCTCAATGGCAGCTCATTGACTTATAGAATAAGAATTACATTTTGGAGAATCGACCCAGTGAAGAGGAGAGCAGCCAGCAGCGTAACATCAAAGGTTTCCCTGGTTGTGAGAGCCATTAGAAGCAAGCAACAACTAACCCAGCGAGGTCTGGTAGAGGCTCTTGCTAGGAGGACCTTCACAAGCAACAATCAAGCCATGCTGCATGATGTTCTTTTCACCTTCATCACATAGAGGTTATACAGGATACCATTCATGCCAGTGGCAGGGTATCGAGCAGGCAAGCAAGCACAGCACCAAGCAGGCCATTGAGCAAGGCATCAAGCAGTCCAAAGGGCATACCATCAAGCAGGGGGCATCAAGCAGGCTTTCTGCCGTGC